AAATTAAGGGATATAGGCATGCAACCGATGAAATGCAAATGAACTATGGCTAGTTTCTCCCGAGCGTTTCTCCGAATGCCGAAAAAAATCTTAAGCCCCATACCGTGCTATGAAATTTCGGCGAAAACCTACTTTACCGGCTGTACACTCCATGACCGAAAGAGGCCTATCCACAGCCGCTGACTACACAAACTTGATAGTTGTCGCAGTGACCAGCTGTTATTTGTATTTGTTAATTTCTCGTACTATTTGGTTCCTATCTGCGCTTTGGTATTCTTTAGTACTGTTCTGCTTCGCTTCTTTTCTTCCGTCTTTTTGCTCCACGTTGCGGAGAATTCTTCAAAGGAAAGTCTTTCATGGCGTAGACCAATTTTTCAAAAAAGTTATGCATCTGTCAGGAACTCATGCATGGGCTACAAAAGCGAGACCTTTTGCTGGGCGGTCCCGTGAAGCCGGTGGAAGAAGAAAAGGTCTAAGGTTTGATTCCCCATGAGGACAAAATTTTTGTACATTTGCTGAGAAAAGTTTGCTTGGAGTGGGGCTCTTCAATTTCCTCCAAATAGCGCCAGCGCCATTAATGGGTGCCTTATCCTTTAGGAGGATGGTGCACGCTTCCTCAGAAGTTTCCCACTCCAAGCAAACTTTTCTCGGTCCTTTTTTGGCCTTGAGGAACCGCTCAGCCAGAATGAACCTCAGTTCTGAAGTCCACGTGAGAGCCCCTACAGCATACAAAGACAAACAGAACAAACGCTCACTCCTGCAATCCCTTTATTCCAAGTGAATAAGGACCAGAGCAGAGAGAGCACAGCAGATCATCACTGTGACGCACACAAAATATCAAACGGTGGGGTGGGCGGGCCTTGATTCTTTCTGGTAGAATTTGATCGAAGTCTTCAGCGCCTAACGTCTTACGCGTTTCAATGTCGAATTCTGCGGGACTCGGTAGTGGCGGACCACACACGTCTATCCACGGGAGGGTCTACTTCAGCGAGGCTGAGTCGTACCTTGCTTTGAACTTATGGAGCGTTTATCGGATTCTATTCAAAAAGCTGACTATTATTTTAGGCGTCATTGGGCGCTGGTTTGGCTACACAGTATGTTACCCTTCTGGTCGACGGACTACTTGAACCCGGTCCTTTGAGCCGC